ACAATTAGGATATTTATTGCTAGTGTTGCGAGCATCACATTTCAACAGAAAGCTGAACTATTGAGCATGGTATGCACGTGATGTCATCACACTGTAGGCTGGTGGTCATTCTGATTTCTTCTTGCTGAAAAAATCGAATTCGACAGTGCAAAAGGCACGCTGCAGGAGGTTCAAGCTCAGTGAAAGCAAAGTATTTGAAAGGCACGTATTAGTACTCGTAGTGCACCTTCGTGAGGAACGGCGCGAGCGCCCGGCACGACAAAAACATGCTTTTTGTCAAGAGCGTTTTTGCAAACAAAGTAGTTTCCGGGGTCACGCTTTTTGGTCTGTGCCAAAGATGGCAGAAAAGAGGAACCTTTACAACACAGTATGCTTTTAAAACTCCCCCCTCCCCCCTCCACACATACACACAGACGCACTTCTTTATACAGCGGTGCTGTTAAGGGCTAGATTCCCAGTGTCATGTCCGTCAACAAACGAATGATCACTAAACTCCGCCATCTATAAATGACGACGGCAACCAGACAACCCACTTGCCAGTTGTCTGGTTGCCGCCGCCGTTTGTAGAGGGTGGCAACCCCTCCAGCCTTTCCATTCTGGCTTACCGACTTGCGGCCGGCCATTACTTCATTCCCACCATAGTACAGCTTTATTGGTCGTCACCAGAGTGGAAAGACTGAAAGTATTCCTGAGGAATTACCTCCTTCGTTTGTGTCTGTTAATTTGACAATTTTATTTGACACTTGTTAACCGCAACCCTTCATTGCTTTTATTTTGCACCCTGTGAAGTTCCAAGGGGTCATATGAAACGATATCGGGTTGGAATGTTCATGACCTTTCCCAGGCGTACTGGTCCTCTGGCCAAAGTGTACTCACACAGGCCGCCACTGATTCAGAAGCTTCTTCGTCGTGGTGAAATTGCGAAGATTAAACGAGATGATTTCTTCTTGCCGTCCCAAAGATTGATGACGTAATTGTGGGATTGAAACCACCCGCCTGGTCGACAGTCGAGCGCGGCTCATGGATTGGACACGAGAACTGCGTCAGCACTGGACATCGGCTCGTAACAGTCAATGCCGAGGTGGACACTCGGGCAGTGGCTCGTGTTCAACCACTGCGGTGATGAGAATAGCCCAACTCTAACAATGCCTGGAGCTCAGCACGCGTTTTCGTCCTTTAAAACCCCAGCGCGGGGGTATGATTAACGCTGGCAGCATAAGATAGGCACCAGGCCACGTGGCCGCTTCTGGCTCCGAGTTGAGGGGATGAACGATGCTTATATTTCTCTAACTGTTTGGCGACTGCCATGGCCTAGAAAAATAAGCAAAGCCAAGTTCAATCAGTTATTAGCGTTAGGGAGTGATCCTGAGTAGTATTTAGTAATGTATAGAAATATTCTTATAGCTCATTTAAGCAACATACAGAGGGTGTCGAAACTTTGGCAATATCTTGAGAACAACGCTCGTGTGAGATTTACCGCGACTGCCAACCTTCGGCTGTTCCTCTGAGGTCGCTAAAATATCTTTTTTCTTAGGTATTCCTTCCGTACACACGTGTAGTTCTATGTAACGTCATATTAATAAGTCGCATTTAGTCATTTCAGAACTTCTATTCTCAAGGACATTTCTCGGATGCAGTTCAGCAACAACAAAAAAATGTTTCGGTGCCTCAATAATGTAAAATTGGTCTTGCAACATTTTTTTCTACTTTCAATAAATAGTGTTAAGAAATAACCCCTAACGTTGATAGCCTGCGGAAACATCCATTAGTTTTCCCTTAATAACAGATGCAGGAAAATAAAGGACAAAGACAGCTGTCGATATCTCCTCAACTCGCAATTTGAACAAGCGGCCACGTGATCTGACGCTAATTATATACCACCAGTGTTTGTCACAGTCATGCCCTCGGCGGCTAGGGTTTGGAAAGCAAAAGCTTGGGCAGAGCTTCAGATATTGTTACAGTTAGGCTATTAATTATCATATTTAATTGACACGAGCCAAAACAAATGTTTGGCGATGCTGATTGTCATGAACCCGAGCACTCGACTAGGGGTTATGAAAATCGCCTACGTCACGGTGTCACGTGACCCTCGGTGCGAATTCGTGATGTCATGTTACGTCATGCTGTGAACAAGGTTAATGCATCTAATGACTTCCTCAAATTCAATCGAGTTGATGCAGTGAGTCACGTGACGTTATGAGGCCACGTGACATTACTTGACAACATGTACTGACACCATGACGTCACGTGACAATGTGACACTTGGTTAATCCTAGTGCCAATACAAAGGTGCCACGAAAACCCACAATTTATCATACATTGGAATTCTCTATATGACGATTTGATCAATAGATAGAAATACAGCCGCCAATTTTTTATTCCCATATGTTCATTTTGTGATACTAACAAAAAAGAAAAAAAAAAAAGAAATATTACCTTGAACCGTTTTGAACCGGTTACCGTTATATTTTTTTTCAGTTCGGTTCCGGTTCAGTTCCAAGATGGCGGCGAAGATTTCGGTTCGGTTCAGTTCCGGTTCGGCTAAAAATAACGGTTCCGTTCCGGTTTTCGGTTCGATTCGGTTCCGGTTCGACACCCTGGGGGTGTTACTGCCGTCGTCACTTTCACTGCGGGGAGCACGATTGAATCTGAGCTACTTCTGTGGGTCAAATCACACGAGAACACATACTGAGCAATGTTGGACACGGGTAGGTTTGCAAATGTCAAGGTTTGAAATTTTTACTCTGGAGGGAGAACGAGGAACACGGTCGCAGGAAGTCGCAGATGCGGCGGGTGCCTCTGAAAGTGGAGGAAGCGGGTGGTGCAACCTCGTGCAGCGTAATGCCCACACCGACATGCTGCCAAGGTAGAGTGACATGCCCCTTTAGAGGGCCCCTGAGTACAAAAAAAATTTCGTTTTAAACAGTCTGGTGGGGACATGCATGTAAAAAAATTAATTTTACGCAAAAACAAAAATCCTTTTAGAGCAATATTGACAGCGAGAGATTTATTTGAAATTCTGCGCACAAAGTCCATGATGTCACGGAGTGGTCATTCACTCTTTCAATCTCAGCGTGAAGGTGAAGCCAATCCACCTCTCCTCCACGCACCCGAAAATTTGAAAGAAAAACAAGTGGAAAGGAGGTGACTAGCGACTAAATTGTGTCTCTCGCCGTCATTAATGCTCTAAAAAATTATTTTTTCACGTAATGTTTATTTTTTGACACACATACCCAACCAAACTGTTTAAAAATATATTTTTGTTTCTTTTCAGTGTTTTTTTTTTAAGAAAAGACACTACCTTAAAATTTAAATATTTTTTTTTATTAAAAGTTTTATTTTATACGGGTATTTTTACCAGCTTCCAAATATCTCGGTGGATGCTCCAGAAAGTTTTGCTCGTCTAACTAAAGTAGTTTTCCCGGAATAAATTATTTCCGACATGCCGGCACCATCTAAAGTGCAGCTTTTCAAACTTCCAAATACGTTTGTCTCAGTTTCAATTTTTGGCATAAAATCTCGGTTCAGGAAAACAATAATTTCATAATGAATTGATGTCTGGAGCTAGTTTCAGAAGTTTCTGTACTGAAATTTTTCAAGAAACGCTGTTGTGAGCTTACTTTCTGCATTGGCATGGTCTTTTGTTATGAAAGGCTGCAGTATCTCCAACCTAATGCACACAACAAGAAAATACTTAACATTTTTATTTTCTATTAAAAAGGTATAATTTCTGTAATTTCTTTTCATAACCACATGACACAGGTGTTGCACTTATTTTTATCCAGAAGAACTGGCAGTTATCATTAACTTTTCTAAATTATATTTTTTCTCAGGTGGTGCAGTATTTATTTTATGTACATACCTCTTTTAAGGATAAACTTACAGACTTAAAACCTTGCATGTCATCCTCTTTCTCATATATGAATGTTCACCACAAATTTCATACAAATAAGACTAACGGTTAAGGACTTCTTCCTGAGTAGTATCCTCCCTTAGGCAGTCCAAACCAAGACCGAACATGCCTGTGCACGCCGGAATATGCCAAAACATATGTGTTCCAGTCCATGAATACGGACCAAAATTTTGACCTTTGGTTTGGACAGGCACTTGAAATACACAAACACATTTGGATCTGGGTGGAGGAGGCAAGGGCACGCAGCTCAATGCTGCGGCTGGGGGAAAAGGGTTGCCACAGTGAACGAGAGGAGGTCTGCGCCGTGTTGCGGTGCGTGTGAGAAGCGTGCGACTACCATTTTGCAAGAAGGGTGCATAAAGGGAAGCATCCTTCATGTTCTTGATTGGCTGTGCCTTCAATACATTGCAATAGAGATGTCAAAGTCAGCTGCAAGAATATTTTCGTGTTGTGGCACCTGTAGGTGCATTTTAATGCGAAAGCATTAACTGGTCCCATGGAGCGAACCGACGTCATCAGCTTTGAAACCACTGCAATTGTTGGCCACACGGCACTTAAATTCCCCTTTCCCAAGTGAAGCCGATTTCTGATGGATTATGCTCCCGTTGGCTGCCACGCGTCATCAAGGAACGAGGCTCCCATTGGCTCTCGTGCGGCGTAATTCCAGAGAAGGCAACTAGATAAGCCCTCTCTGTGGCGGCACGGCTGCCAGGAAGAGGAGGGAGCGGTGGCGGCAGAGGCAACAGAGCCCGTCCGGGCAGACTCCAGAGGGGTCGCATGGCCGAGCTCAGCGCGGCGCGGCCACTTCACAAAAGCGCGCGCTCGGCTGTTCGCCGGCGAAATGTGGTTGTCCACGCCACTACGCCGCAGACAAACTCAGGGAGCGGAAGAATGACGTTCATGCTTTCGCGTTCACAACTCATAAGAACTGCTGAGGTGTCCTCAGACCTTTGTGCTGAACCTGACCGCTCCTTATGTGCCGCATGCTCCCCACAGGGTGTGTCAGTTCTATGTGTCAGTCATTCTCTCCCTTCTTGTTGGCACAGAGAAGGGTCGTATTTGACAGCGCTGTGGTGCTTTCGTGCAGGTGCGCCTTCCCCTGCTGACGGTGCCCGAGCTGTTGAATGTGGTACGCCCCACGGACCTGGTAGGGCCAGACTGCATTCTGGATGCCATCCAGCTCTGCACCGAGACCAGGGATGCCGACCGCCCCTACCGAGGAAGCCTCTGTGGGTGCCTCCTCTCTTTTTTTTTGGGGGGGGGGGGGGGGGGGGGGCATCTCTCGGGGAGGGGACGTCATAAAGGACTGCGGGCCTGTCTCTTTAGGTTGCCAGATGGGCTCGCTCGTGTTGTCGCAACATGCTTGCAGGTGCAATCGTTTACATGTCTACCTGTCTGGCTAGACTCGAGTAGGCGGAATTTCAAACACAAGTAGTGTGGCTCAGTCAGCAAATTTCTCCTATGTTTTTTTTAGTTTGTGTTCTTGCCACGCACGTCATTGGTTGACTGAGTGACGTCGACTTGATTGCACAACTGTCCCATCTTGTTTGGCAGCTGAGAATATGACAGGAATGTTGAAATGCTAGGCTACTTTTTTTGGTATGGGAGAGACAGAATAATTGCAGGGCTCAGTACAGGCTTTTCATTGGCTAGAGGGGAAACAAAAACCAGTCAGTTGAATTAGAATGAGGTACATCCTGCTGCTTCAAAATGACTCTATCTGCTCGCATCATTTTAGACAGAAATGTTTCACTAATTCACTCATTCCTTAAAGCAGCCAGAGAGTGGAATACAAAACTAATTGTAATTAGGGTTTTTGTGTTTTGGGTATATACACCACAGCTGGTTTTATAAAAGTTATGAAAAACAGAAAAACCCTGCATTGCGGTTTTCGGTTTTTTCTACTCCTCACCTTCGTTTGCCACCTGCTCTTTCTCACCTTCGTTTGCCTGTTCCCTTGGCGATAATGGTGCAGGCGATCAGGGTGAAATGTTTGTACCACCTGTCGTCGTTTCAGTGCCTGCGGAGAATGTGGCGAGCGTGTCCCACGGGGCCCAAGTGCTTGCGGGGGAGATGCGCAGCGCCCTGCTGGACGGGGACAGCCAGGGCTACGACATGGAGCGAGGCTTCACCCGGCACCCCATCGAGGACGGGGGGTCTGGCCGACGGACGGGCATCCTGGTCAAGCTGGGCAGCCCCTGCATCCTCAACCACCTGGCCCTGCTGCTCTGGGACAGGGACAACCGGGCATACAGCTACTACATAGAGGTGGGCGCTCTTCACCGGGCCACTCTCTCTGGCCGTCGGATGTCTCCTCCCGTCGTCGCTTTTGACATGTCGTGATACTGCCGGGCACCTAAGGCGCCGGTTACCGTTTTTTTCATGATTGTTTAGTGGTTACGGACTGACTGACCTACGCATTTCCTGCTTATGCGGCTCCTGAGTTTGGTTGGTCCCATCAAGCTGCTGCTTTAACAGTTTCTCGAAGCCTTTCACTATTGTTGCACCGTGCTTCAGCGAAGCCCAGCTGAGCTCGTGAAGGTTTTTCCGAGCTTCCACTTCTCCATTTATAAACTTATCTTTAGGGTCATGCGAATTTTTTGAAGTGTAGTTTTGAATAATACGCTATTCAATATTCACTTCTAGATGAACTGTGAAATTCACATTTTTCTAAGTGTTGGTTGCGGCATGTTAGCCCCATAGAGTTATTATAACGTACGCTAGAGGTTCAGCTGGCACTACTGTGCTGCTGTAAATTGAAGGAGACAGCAACCAGTCTGAAATTGACGTCCGGTAATGCATTTCTACGGGAAAAAGCGAGTGCATTTTCTGTCTGCGCTTGATTATAAGAGCAAATATCACGAATATTTCGTACGTACTAGGCTCATTGGAACATTTCTCAGTCACGCAGATAAGATAATTGGTCAGTTACGGCATTTTATTAAAATTCGTGGCGTGAAAAACGGTGCTAAAACTGCTTCGAACATGTATTTATGTGCACTCTCAGACACTGCTAGCGCGAACACGGCGTCGGCGCTTTCTAGCATATACGTGCCAAGTGGGATATACGTGCCAAACGAACGAAGGACTTCTGGAAAACTAAGAAAGACGGCTAGAACTATGCAGCAACACTGGATAAGTAACTCCTTGTGTGTGCAGACGATCAAAATAAATTGAAAGCCACGTAATATAGTCCGATTTCCAATAAATAAGTACTGCTTTATTTCTTCTGCTCATGAATATGTGCGAAGATGCTTGTTCTGGGTTCGAATCATCACCCGCACGCTCCAAACCTTTGCAAATAGAGAGAAGCTAGAGAACAGGTGCCCGGTAAAGGTGCCCGACATAGGAAATAATACAAATACACAGCTTTTGCAGCCCACATACTTTATTTTTTTTACGTTCAAATGTTTTTTTAACCGACCGTAAAGATGCGCACGACGGAGTAATTTTTATATAACGACAGGACGGGCATATTGGCTATTTATAAGTGCCACTGGAACGCTACGTAACCTTGAACACACTCTACATTCCTTTCGATCTTTATTTTTCTGAGAATCGTCGCTCGTTTTTACATACCTGCCATGGTACAGAGGTTTGGGCCTGAAATACAGTGAAGTTTAACATCGTTCAGTGGTAAAGAAAAATGCTGTAACTAAAGCAATAACACTTTCACAATATTAATAAAGGTACATACTATACGGTACAACCGAAATAGCAGAAGTTATTAATCTCATTTTCCGACGAAGAGACAAAATGCTTGCGCGTTTTCCCAGAGGAATGCACAGGAGCACTGGAAAAGTAGACTGGTTGCTGTCTGCTTCAATTTGCCTGCCTGAAGTCGCATAGACACTAGCACCAGTTGAACCTCTAGCGTACATTATAACTCTATGGTTAGCCCCTTTGAGCATGCTTCTTGCAGAGCAGCGGTGCACTGCGGGGATGCCACACCCGCGGAAGTGAGCTCCGCGGGAGTTGTTCCCCTGGAGTGCACCGGTGCTGGGTAATTAGTGCGCTAAATGGGGCTAACCTGCCGCGATTGACACTTCGGAAAGTGCAAATATCACAGACGCTTTCCTGAGAGAGAAGCACATTTTCAGAGCGGGGCAGTGCAAGCATGGTGTATATTTAAATAGATACAGACACTTTGTGAATGTTAATACCTGCATTGCAGTGAAATTTCCAAAATTAAACTGTGGCTGTAATGCAAGAGTATGTTGGGCAGAGATGCCCTGACAACCTGCATTCATCATTTGAGAATCTTTCTATTTATTTAGAGATTTAAGAAAGGATATTTGCATACTGTAAGGTTTGTGAATCCTTTGGATTAGGTATAGCTGGGCATCTTTATAGTTTTGATTTTATGTCAATTCTGTCATTGCTTTTCCATCACAGTGTTGGCATTAGACTTTTTGAGGCCACAGTCATATGTACTAGTTAGGTTAAAATTAACTTAGCTTAGAAATGGTTGAGTGGAAGCTTGGGAACAAACCTCACGAGTTCAGCCGAGTTTTCGAAGCATGGTGCAACAGTAGTGAAAGGCTTGGGGAAACTTTTTGATATTCGATTTGAAAATATTCGGCGCAAGGCTGAACGACATAGATTTGCCATTCTGCAACAGCAGTAGAACAAACCAAACAGAAATCGGTTAAAAAAAATTTATACATGCGGTCAACAGGTGAGAGCACAAGACATCACTGTTTTCGTTGCATGCTCATAGATGACGCTACGAGTAAAAAAATTAATTTGCTAGTTGTCTTATGAGTGACAGGGAGAAAACCAAATTTGAAATCACTTTAACGAGTATACTCGAGTGTGGCACTCAAGTAGTTAGTTTGTTCAGCAATCTGGAAATGCCATCAGCATCCGCATATATTTCAAACACATCCTGGCTTTCGACCTAGTGAATTTTTCAAAAAGCGTAGAATACCGCACAACCGCCCATTCCGCACTAAGCGCCCACCCCCAAAATTTGAAACATCTGCAGAAATATGCACAGTACATATATACATAAAATTGTTGACCTCACATGCACCCATCCCCTATTTTTTCGCGATGATCTTCAAATTTTGAGTGGGCATTTGCTCGGTGTTTTACGGTAGGTGCGAAGAATTACAAGAACAAAAAGTATAAAACCTAATATTGATTTCTAAACGATGCCATATTTAACTTTCGCATAAAGTTTCTTTCGCGAAAGGAAGGTATGCCTCTGTCGTTGCGCTTGTTGTTTCTATGCTGTAAGCCGCGGAGGCCGGACAGAACAACGACAGGGGCACGAGCGTGATCTTGCCGGTGCACCCCACAGTTTCGATTGTATGGGCGTCCCTCTGTTGGCACGAGGCTCGATAGCTTGGTCGTGTGCCGCAGGTGTCTGTGGACCAGAAGGACTGGGTGCGGGTGGTGGACCACTCCAAGTACCTGTGCCGCTCCTGGCAGAAGCTGTACTTCAAGGCACGGGTGGTCCAGTACATCCACATCGTGGTGAGTGTCCGGGGGAGGGAACCCTCGCCGTCGGCGTGTCCTCGGCTGGCTCCCGATCGGTTGGCTACGGTGCCCGGGGTCCGATTTTGTGTCGGGCCGAGAGCAAGTGTGTTCTCGGCTGATCGTTCTTGCGGATGTGGCATCACAGCTTGACCTTCATCAACCCGTCGGCCATTTCCGACCGATTCGTGGGTTCACCGTCGGGCAATATCTCGTCGGGAACGTCTCGCCCACGTACAAATGTCGAACATGCCAGTCGACGATGCGGTGCGGAGAGCAAGTCGTCGATTTCTTGCGCAGGAGCTGCCGTGACATCATAACTTCGCCGACCTCTGATTGGCCTTGATTGAAAGGATAGTGGGTGTACCTCTATGCTAGACGCCTCGAGGTCTGCCCACTATTTCTTTCAATCGGCCAATAACAGCTCAGCACTGTTGCATCGTCGCAACCCCTCTGCAAGCAGCAGACAAACGTGCGCTCTGCATAGAGGCACCGTCGAGGCCAGTTCGGACGCTCGCATCCGACCGCGACCGATTTTGCTACGACTTTTCTACACAATAAAGACAGCTCAAACGATGAAGACGAAGTGAAGAAACGTATGCATGTTTAGCTTCGTCATGTCTCGTATGTTTCTTCACTTCGTCTTCGTCGTTTGAGCAATTTTCATTGTGCTTAATATTCACCAACTGTCCCAATTTGCTGCCTTAGTACGACCGTCCCGAACTAAATTGAAAGTTTTGCAACATTAGCAAGCTCAAATCTGCGCGTCATCTACGAGAAATGGTTGTTTATAACATTGTCGGGATTATATCGAGCCCACGGCGAAAGAATGACGCGTAAAAAAATTGGGAAATATGCGCGCATTGGGAGTGTTCTGGGGCTGCCCGATGGATGGTGCCGGCACATTCTTTCATCCCAAGTAGTACGAGAGGTCGTAGCACAGTTCATCGGAATGAAACGCGAACGTGCGAATCATTCCGAGAAAAAGGACAAGAATAAGAGCCACGGAAGAGCGAAAAAAGAAAGCAGATGATCGATCGGGCGCATTCGTTTAGCTGCGACGGCCTGAAGTTGTTTAAGTGCTTGTCTACTTTATACCTTCCTATACGATGTGCAATGCCGGTGTTTTTTTTTGCCAAGAACGAAGTAAAGATAGAAAAGCGAGTAGAGAACTTGTAAGCCTTCTTTTTGTAGTTCTTTGTGTATATTAAAGCGTAGCCATTGATCGGGCCCGTCGGTACCGCCCGCCGGGACCACCGTCGTCCTCCGTTTTCGTGCCCCAGGGTTAGAGTGCCCGGGGCCTTTCCCTCCGGATCATCACATTAACACCACGGGTGCAGGGCACGCACAACACGGTGAACCGGGTGTTCCACGCGGTGTCCCTGGAGTGCCGGCACGTGGGGGAAGGGGCCATGCCGGAGCTGGAGGAGGGCCTGGTGGTACCTCGGGAGAATGTGGCCACGGTCTCCCGCTGCGCCTACGTGGTGGAGGGGGTGAGCCGTTCCCGCAACGCCCTCATCAACGGGGAGACCGGCAAGTACGACTGGGACTCTGGCTACACCTGCCACCAGCTGGGCAACGGGGCCATCGTGGTGCAGCTGGCGCAGCCCTACTGCGTCGACTCTATGCGGTGAGCTATGCGCTTCCCGTGCCGCGCTTCAGTATTTCTGCCCACCTAGATCAATATACTACCACCTAGAAGACGAGGCCCGTGCTCGACGTCCTTGTTGGTGGATCCCAACCGGCCCCAGTAGCTGGACAGAAGGGTGGTGGAAAATGGTTAGCTTACCTTACTTCTTCTGCGGAAAACTGATCGATGCACAGTGTGTTGTGTGTTTGTGTAGAAATATTTTGATCTGTTTGGACGTGCTTTGTCTCTCTTACCCATTTGGCCTTTAAGGTAGTCCTTTAGGAAAGTTGACACAAACAAAGGACGCGTTCTGCGTCGGTCTGCTTGGTGTAAAGTGTCAAGGTAGGTTCAAATTTAGGCGATTGAGTGCAAAACACGGGTCTAAAACTTTAAGCAACGGGTTGTAAGGCGTCCAAAATTTCACTCGCTGTTGCGCAATAACTTTATGGTGTGAGAAACGCTTTTGCACTAAAGTGAAAGGCTAATGGACAGCTGTTTCGTGTATACAGCCCTGGAGGTGAAAACAATCTCTGTCTATTACTCATACTAATTTTTATGTTCTGAATTGCTTCTTGGTGACTGTGCCAGCTAAAGTTGCAAATACAGTCAAACCTCAATGTAACAAACTTCTATGTAATGAAACCCCCAATATAATGAAGTGCATAACTTTTTCTAACTGCAAGTGTATGCACGCCATGTATTTTTTACCTCTATCTAACATAGTCCCGTTTGCCGAATTTTCGATGTAACAAAGTTTCATGGACAATTCGGCACAAACTTTTGGGTCCCAAAGGAGATTGTGGGAAGCACACACACTGAAACGGGCCCCCGATAAAGCGCTAAGGGTGAAACAGGCCGAATCTGGCGAGTGTGGTGTACAGAACGGCCACTAGAGGACACTAGAGCTGCCGCCGTTTCGTCCGTCGGCTTTGTTTGCATTGTGTAGTTTGTTTTGAGGCCTAACTTAAAGCATGCGTTTCTCGGTAATGGAGCCTTGAAGGTGATGGAGCCGCCCCTGACATCGTTGACCTCGACGACTTTCTATACGCCGACTCTGCTGTCATTGTGAAGGAGGAGGTAACCGACAATTTGTGGAAACTTTCTTTAACGTTTGCCCCGAATTTCTACGTGGCGAAATTTCATTGTAACGAAGAAAATTCAGAATATTGCTGGCTCCGTTGCATTAAGGTTTGACTGTACTAGCTCCTACTCTATTGCACATTTTCATTGACTAACATGCTTACCAACAATAATATAGCACCGGCAGGGGCTCCAGATACGAATGTTATGGTCAAAACGACCGGAACACTTCAGCTGTTGCGGTCAGTTCCTGCACATTAAGCTGGATCAAAGATTTGTATTGAAGTGTGACCGACTTCATTACGGCTCCTTGCATTCCACTCTTATAGGGGAATAAAAAAAGTAAGTAAGGTCCACATTGTGCAGACCTTACTTACCTTTTTACCTTACTCTTATAGGGGGAAAAAAATGTAAGTAAGGTCGACATTGCGCGGACCTTACTCCCCATAAAGACCCTTTCATCATAAGCTGTGACAAGCAGCCATAATGCTGTTTGTCACACTTAAAAAAAGATGTCTGAACCAGCCCTTAGGACTGATTGTGTAATTGGGATGCAGTAACCTTGGCACACCCATATAAGTCCGGCCATCTAGAGACCCTTTCATTGTAAGCTGTGACAAGCAGTCATAATGCAGTTTGTCACACTCAAAAGCAGATGCCTGAACCAGCCCTTAGTATTGATTCTGTAATTCAAATACAATAACCTTGGCACCCATATCAGTCTAGGCATCCGAAGATCTGGGGTCCGTTTTTGGTCAGAGCGAGAGTGATATCTCCTGTGGAGCGAGTGAAGGTTCGCCTGCTAACGCGAGTGAAAAACGCGGTTCGTCTGCTACAAAGCGTCATTCACAGATAGAAATGAAACGAGAAAACATTGTCCATCGTCTGCTAACAGACCAGAGAAATGTTGACCGGCTGCAATGAACCGGATGCCGTGGCAAAGTGAAATCAGACGTAGGCTGAAACTGTGATCATCTGCGACGTCACGTTGGAAGCCACTGACAACCGATGCTTGGTTTGCAAATCTCCAAGTTGTTGCGCTGCCATACACAAGCTGACATCGGCTACCGAATGCAGGAGTACTAAAGACGAGCATAGCGGAGACCGCAAGACCTTTCTCATTTCTGAGGGAGTGAGGCGTTCTCACCGAAATATTGCCCAATTGTGAGGTCGCGGACATTCAAGAATGTCCCATTGGTTGATTACGCGCAAGGTGTGGCGCCATGTTCAATCAGCAGCCGAGAACGCTCTCCCTCTCACCTCAACCAAAATTGAACCCCTGGTGACAGCCCGGTGGCGGTGTGTTCTGCTGCAGGCTCCTACTGTGGGACTGTGACTCCCGCCAGTACAGCTACTATGTGGAGGTGTCGGTGGACCAGCAGAATTGGACCATGGTGGCAGACAGGCGTCAGGAGCTCTGCAGGTGAGCAGCCTCCCCGGGGACCATCCCCTAAGTGAAACTAATTGTGTTTGTCTAGACAGGAAGAAGTTAGTCAGCCCCAGTGCTGCAGATGAGAGATTTAGCCAGTGCAGTATTGGTGCCAACCTGGAATCTGTAGTGTGAATCACGCGACAGTGGTACACGACTGCTTACACATCGGCACAACGCGCGTCCAGATCAAAACGGGCAGGGGTGGGGTTTGTGCTCTGGATCCTCGGGTTCCGGAGCACGAGCTTTCACTCCGCGTGCTCCAAGCTGCAGTGCGTTAACACACTTGGCCACCGATCTGTTGGGTGCTCCCATTGCATATGCCACTACCTCACGACCTCGACGGCGCATCGATCCTTTGAGGAGACTGTGTCAGTTGGTTTGTTAAGGCTGCGGTACCACGGCGGCCATCTTGAACAAAACATTAGTTGAACCACCAGGGCGGCGTTGGCTGTCCGTATGAGCAAATGCTGCAAAACCTGCGCGCCAATTTCGAAACCCTTTTTCCCGTCGCTTGCGACCTTGAGTTTCCTTCTCCACTCTTACGCCCCTCCTTTCACGTGTTCACCCTCTGGCGCGTCGCGCCCACGTTCATTGTTGGGAGGACAATGTACCGGATAATCCCCAACTTGAGGCCCCCTGCCAAAATTGTCCGGCTGCCAAGTGATTTGAGCGAGATGTGGTTTTGAAGCGGTATGGAAAAGTGGGACCGTCAATTTTGAACTATGCCTTTTCGATACTGCATAAGTTGTGTACGGGGCTGGCCAAGGCACGGGTGCGAGGACGTAACTGTATACAATGCTTGGGTTGCAGGAGCACTCGCGCGTAGAAATGGTAGGACGCGCTTTCTGAAATCACACGCCTACATTCCGCAGCGTTGCAATCCTACGAGTAAAACAGAGTACATCTTTGGACAGTGCGTGAGTTGGTGCCGGCCGTACGAAAGACACACCTCGCGCTTCCTGTCACTACTGCCTCTGCTTGCACGCGCTGCCGATTGGCGGTCCTTTCTTTATTTTGTTTCGTCGCTCTTTTGAAAATACTGAAACTATTATTTTCTCAGACCCTGCTCATCGTACCTCTGCACTACAGTTGTGTAAACACATTGTGATGTAATTTGAGATATGGGACGGCGTGTCTACATTCTTATTTCGTGTGTAATGCCGGCATAATATTCCTTTGCTGCCAGAGGGTCAAAATAATGGTAGGGTTGGCAGCAAAAACTATTTCAATAACCGAATTATGATCAAACACTAGTAAGAACATAAAAAAGAAATCACATGGGGACAATAAAAATATTGCTACAAAAGGATGGTGCGCGGGGCACAAACAATATTCGGAGTGACGTTGAGGGAACGCGACAAGCCAGATCTTTCCTGATGGCAGCCGTAAAAGTTGATTGGTGCCTCGTTTTGATCGCCTTTGCACGGAAACTCGTCGACTACCGACTATCTTGTCAGTGGTGAACATAGTGAGCATGAACTTAATGATTTTTTTGTTGTTTTTGTTTCTGTAGTGAGAGTATGGAAATATGAGACATCCGCTGACGCTTGCGTCGGCTAACGGAACCTCAATCGCCGATCGCGGCCGATGTCATGGGCGTATACAAATACATCAAGTCGTCTGGGCGGGAGCAGTTGAAGCGCCGCACTTTTTTGGCCGGTCAGTAGAGACTCCGCGAATTCTGACTCGAGGCTACTCTGTGCGGAGGGAGCCGCTACTGAGCGCGACCAATCGGAAACTAAGGATGGCTGAAATTTCCTAATTGCCATGAGATTTGAAAATTCGTTCTTGCCGTCATAGTAAATTCGTCCGAATCGCTATTCGATTTACTAATCGATTATTTGGATGAAAAGGTATATTTCAAAATTCGTACGTGGCTCACCAAATGGCAATAAACTTGGTATAGGATTTCAAACCTATATAGTGTCGCCCTAATTTACAAACTTGTTTCACTTGAAATTAGAGTTCACACGCAAGCGAGCTGGTGGAAGCCTATACTAAAAAGGCCAGAAACAAGAGAAACAAAAAATAAATAAATAAGAGCGGGATAAGCGCAACACAGTCTCAAAGCGGTAACCGTTCTTCATTAGGTGATGAAGAGTGGTCCCCGCTCGAAACGTCGTAGTAAACTTCGAATTAGTAACTCTGACAGTACGCATTTTTGCCTTTGTATATATATATATAGAGAGAGAGAGAGAGAGAGAGAGAGAGAAAGAGAGATAGGTAGATAGATATTTTTCACTATTTGCTGACGGCCGAAACTAACTATGCAACACAATTTTCGCTAAAGGCTACCGTTATTTACAAAATATGACGAGCGTAGTTATTATATCTGCAATAATTTGATAGCAGAAACATAATTCGATCAAGCTACTTGATGAGTTGGCGTTCAATGAAGCGGTGTTCGATGAAATGTCCACTATTCGATGAAACGCCAATCAATAAAACAGAGCTTCATCGGACGAAGATGCCTAGCTGTTGTGATCCGCAATATTTCGCGCAAAAACGAAAGACACCAGAATAAACAACAAGTAAAACCACAGAGCTGCCCCGCCTCATATCACCCTCAGTTGGAGCTCGACTGACACATTGCGCCGATCAAGCATCACCAACAGCTCAACACCTAAACGCCACGGCGTTCACTATCTTTGTTTGGGTGATTCCACCCACTAATATAACAACTCATACAATGCGCCGTGATAAAGTGCTTTTTGTCTTTGTGTATGTGTTTTCGTGACATCTAACCTCTGTTTGCGCTCTGACTAAGAATGAAACCATGTATACTAAAACATCGATAGTGGTCTCTATTTTTAGCAACGCTCGCACACGTCTTGTCTTTGACGCAGTGGCATTCTCATCTCCCATACACGGACATTTGGACAAAATAGGTTGGTCGGCCTTCACTCATTAGCTGCGGAACGTTTTGACCGTGACGTATCTATAACTCAAAGAAGCACCGACAGGCGGGTGCCCCTTTGAAAACAAATCATGCTCGCGTAGAGATATTTAGCGGCTATAGTATAGTCCGTGGGTATTTATTTCTAGGCCAACTCGTCGGCGTCAGTCAGTACAGGCGCTGGAGGCGTGAAGAAAATGCTGGCAGATGTCGGCTTGACGAGCCCCACACTCTCCCCTTACAGCAGATGGCAAATAAACCAACAACAATATTTGTCGACGAGCAATTGATTGAAGAGGCCAATCGGTAGTAGGATGACTCGACAAAGGGTAATTCATCAAAAATTCCAACTCGTTGACAATTGTCTGTGAGGCCATTCAGTTTCCACATTGCACTCATCTTTTGTATTAGAACACATGCACATGTTAGACATTTTAATATAAGCAAGTTTCGGGCACCGGATATTTTTTTGAAAAGCTGTTTCACCGAATTTCGCATTTCCCGGTTCGTCGAATTTTGATATGAAATCATAATATAATTATTATACTTGTCACTTCTTCAATTAGAAATGGTTACAAATAATTATAAAATAAAAGTAGGCTTTCGCAAAAATTATGTCGATTATAGGCTATGCCAACGTAGCCGAACAGTAAAAAAAAATGTTATGAGGGTTTTTTTGTTAGGGTTCAGGAAAGACAAAGGCGATTCTTCAAATGAGCACTGGTCACACAGGCCGACTGGTAACATAATTAAAATAAAAGCACCGACTTCACAGAACAGGAAAAAACAATTTCACTAGACGTTTCGCCTCCATGAATAAACGCCTCCATGAATCATGAATAACCAACTCGCCCAAGCTGAAGTTCTGACCAGTTTCGCCTCCCTTGCGGGAGGCATCTTCAGTAGTTACACAACAATGCCTGTGTAAGCTTCGTGGAGAGGGCCGCGTTTTTTGTTACACACGGATGTGTGTGTCCCTGCGAACTAACCACGATTCTAGGATTTTCGGGACCCCCATCTGTCCTCCCTCGCCAAGGTCGTCGCGGCCGGGAAGTCAAAATAATGCCCTATTGTCCACACATAGTACACCAGTTCAGACTTCAGTCGGGTCGCGTGGGATGCGCACGTGACGTCACGCTTGTGTTTACAAAGCAAATGAAAAGTTCAACCTCAAGTCAACGCTATTTATCAAATATGTCCGTACTTCGTGGAGAGGGCCGCGGTTTTTCTTATACACGGATGTGTCTCTGAGAACAGACACGATTTTAGGAGATTTTCGAGACCCCCATCTTTGTCATAGGGTGACTCGTTTATCGGACTGTTCGTCGCAGCGAGAGTACAGGGAAGGATAATAATTCATACCCTATATCGTGCAGAAGAGAATATTAAAAACAAAAAAGAAAACGAAGCGAAAATTTCGATTTCTTTTCTTGTGGACAGGGCATTGTAGGTGAACGTGGCTTCCTTGTTTGATTCGCCAAAGTAGCAACAAAGCGGCATTTTACGATCGAGCGAGCACCGTCGGAAACACTGCCGAAAATAATTTTATAGGGAGTTTCACGGCTTTCCGGGATACGGTCCATTCGTCACATGCACACTCGTCACAGGACGATTGGTCACAGGACGATTCGTCACACAGGAACATTCGTCATAGGACGACTCGTCACGCGGCCAACCGGTCCCACAACAGTTCGTCCCCCCAAAAATGTATTGTTCAATTTGGTTCGGGCGGACAAAGTGGCTCACCTCATATCTTATGTGTTTGGCTTCTGAAAGGCGAAGAATTTGTAACAAACGTTTTAGCTTCTGGCTCGGTCCCGAACGTTGAATGTTGGTTCGGCCTCACAAAGTGGGTCACCTCTTATTTTGGCGTGTCTTTCGCTTCTCAAGGTCAAAGAATTTGTAACAGACGTTTTAGCTTCTGGGTCCGTCCCGAACGGTGAAAGCGGAGGCCATATAAGAGCGACTATTTTTGAACTTGGACTACATTCAAAATAATGGAGGTGATCGCAACAGAGACAGGTGGAGCCATGATGCTGCACGAGGGGTACTCGTACACATTCAGCAGAAAGAATTCCGATACTTATTGATTTTG